CACAATTTCATACCAGTATGTTCATCCTATTATGCTGATGCCTTCCATTGCTCAAAAAATAAAGCTGCAGTGTTGCATTTATATGTCTAAGATGTTCTTAACTTGTGAGTCGGATGTGTTCTAATGACAGAAAATGTCCAGTGAAAAGCTGTTGAATATGAAGGAAGGATAATCCAGTATTTTTTCATGTACACTAAACTTGGGGAAACTTGTTTCAAGTGCTGGCTCTGCCTTGGATTTCATATGTGGCCTAGGGTCTTCCCCTAATCCACAGAACATAAATGTTACCTGTGAAATGTGTCATGTGTAAAGGAAAATAGATTTTGAATTGTTAAGTTCTGAGATACTGTAGTAGTGAATTGTCAGCCACCTAAGTAATGGATTAACATAAAATTATCAGTTCTGAATACAAATGTCTTGTGATTCTGACAACTTCAGAGATGTCTAAATTAGCAAATAGTGCAAATCATTAGGAGTGGATCTGTTAGTTAATGGCAGGGAACCAATATCCATACTACACATGCATTATAGGAATCTCTGTTTTAGTCTAGTTCTATTCTGATCCTATTGACTGGATTAGTGGCTGGAGACCATTAGGTGCACTCCTGAAAATATCTTCCCGCCTAATTTAACCCAAAAGGAATTCCAGTTTGTTTATTCTGAGACTGTTTTATACCACAATCAAAGTACAGTACGTGAGTAGAATTAGATTTGTTTCAAAAGCCCACTTCTAACCCTAAAATGCTCATGTAGATTCCAAAGTGTACTACTGTAATGTTCATAACTGTAATTTGCTTTTGTATTAAATAATATGCTTTCAGTCTGAAGAATTAAGGAAGTCTGGATTTCTTTTGATTACTGCCTTATATCCTTCTACCACACAAGCCCCAGTTCTTCTATACATTCCTCAAACTTGCATAACGCTATCTCTTCAACTTCCTAAAATGCCCAGTTCCTTCCACATCCCTGACAACCAATACATTCTTACATCCCTTAGGTTTTTGGCTGACTTGAATATATGCGTGCTCTTACAAGACAGCCAATATGTGTCTTTCAGATGGTCAGTTGGGCATTATCTTTCAGAACATATATTTCTGTTGAGTACTGTGAGACAGTTTTCCCTAGGTGTAAAAATATGGTTACCTTTCATCTGTCCTGTCACCAGTTTTCTTTAAGTTTATATGAGTCAAATATATTTTGACACTCCTTTTCTGCTTTCAAATCTGGTTGGATTTATCCAAGCAATTCAAAAATTGTTAGGTCAGAGATTGATAGAGAAATCATGTATCCTTACTACCATAAGGAAGCAGTTTAAATATAGGGTATTCATGCTCCTTTAATCAAAGACACAGAACTTTCATTAAAAATACAATGACAACATTGCAAAGGCATTGAATATTAAAACCTAGCTGTCCTCACTGCAAGCACATGAAGCTTACATTGTAAATATACACACTCCCAGAGGGCTGTAATAATACTTTACCCTCTAAAGTCCCTCCTGGAAGCATTACTATATACCATCCTTAGAAACGTTTTAAGTATGCTAAAGCTCACTTCTCATTAAAATTGAATTACGACAAGTTTCAGAGAAGGAGAAAAGAGAGAGGGAAATAACTCTGTTCTACTACCAATGTGCTGAAGGATACCTGAGGTAAAACCAGTTAATCTGCAGCAGGCTAGCTAGCCAAAACATCTCCCATCACTTTTTCCAGGCTCTAAGTTTTAATTAAACCAACAAACAAAATTTTAATTATTATGACTGTGAAGAAAATTTTCAACATACTGTAACATATTTATGAGCATGCCACAAAGAGAAATAATAGGTCAAAAAAGTAGAGGCAACTGTGTAATGTCAGACATGCATTAGTACAAACTCCCAGTAAGGAGAGAAGGTTTATTCTTAGCACATATACAAATGTGACAGACTGTGCTGAAGACAGCAATACTGTAGAGAATCTATCATATCAGCAGGTTAAGTCTCTTGCTATGGAGGGCAATCCCATCACACCACTTATTAAAAACAAATGCATAAGCCTGTAGTCAGTCCAGCTTCCATATCCTAGCACATTTAAATGCAACTGGGCAGGTATAACATGTTTGAGACTTCTCAAATCAAGAAGCAAATGCTTTGTTTCATTTTTTTAATCTCTTAATTAAAAAAATGAATTCCTTGAGATTGAAGAATATAGTCTGAAAACTGCCTTCCCTGCTCTCCATACTGAAAGTTCTCTAGCCTCCACCCTGGAAGGCAGTATTTCTATGTCCCATCACATAGAAAGAATGTGAAAATAGATGTTTTCCAATGCAGTCACTTATTTCAGAATCTGGTACTCTGCCAATTGCTGTACATAAACCACTGTAGATGAAAAATAATGCAAAATCCATTCAGGCCTAGCCAGGATGAATGATTTTCCAGAAGGCCCATTTATGCACATGAAGATTTTCAGTCTGTAAGATTTTACACCTTCTTAGGTCTTATGAAAACGTAATGTATCTCTGAACGCGTGTTTGAGGTACAGATGCAAGTTTGCTGATGGAACAACAAGGACTTCATTACACTTGACAGTTACCTCTAATACAGCAAATTATCTTTGTTCTCTACCATACCTTTCACAGACACTAAGAACTATACCCCAGATGTCAGGCTCAAGTACAGACTCAGCATTTTCAAACGCCTGGATGTCTTTAAAGCCAGGAGCTTTCTTAAGGACCATCCATGAGTCAAACAAAAATGACAGCATCAGACATCACAAATAAAGGTTTAAAGGTACATTCTCAGCAGAGATTTGGAAACACAAGGGGAGTTGATGAAGCATTCCTATTTGTATAGATGCAGGGAGCCTGAACCAAAGAGCTAGACATGCACACAAGGTGTTTTGAGTAATTCAGTCACAAGAAATCCACACCAAATACATGAAAATCTCTAGGTTCACCTTTACTGCTACCTCCTATTACACTCAGGTGTCCCTTCGTTGTCCATTCTCTTCATTCTGTCTGCTCAGAGAAGTCACACTGCCTCCTGTACACAACTAAAGCCTCAATGGCAGAGATAACAGCCTCTACTCTGAGAAGTCAGCCAACTTCATGCAGCAGCTTGAAGCAGATCTTCTGCCCTTGTTGATGCTTACTGTCGGCAACAGATTCTTGCAGCCTTTTAAATATTTTGCTTGCCCACCATCTACCACCTGTACCTTCATTAGGAATTCCAACTAAGAGTCCAGGGAGCATAAACTACGATTTCACATTCAGCTCAGTCTTGCAAGGCAGGACACTTACCTTCAAGAAGCATTCAGCATCTTCAGCAGTGCCTGTTTACAGATTCTGTGAACAAGAGCTATAGAAGAACCTTGCAGTATTAGGTATGACTTGGTAACCTTTGTAAGAGGTTAACAGTGCTCTGCCATGCATTGCAAAAGTAGGAAAAATCCTGAAGTTTCAAAAGCCATCAAGCCAGTTCTTTTCACGACTTCTAAATTCACTCAGAAATAAACCTACCACTGCACAATTAATGAACCAAACAGAACAAACCCTGAGAGAATGACATATATCAATATAAGTTGAAATTGAATCACACTAGTTTGTCTCCCAAGCATCAGTAGCCCACAGCGTCCCATAACTAGACTTAAATATATATTAAATATATATTAATATACAATTTAGTCTCTTCCAGATGAATTGAAGAAAGTGGAAGAATGGCAGTCATGCAGTTGTGAAAGCCTGTGTTCCTTGTGCTAACACAGACTTCCTGTACTACTCTAGTCACATCATTTAGCTTGTCTCATCAGAGCTGTAATAGGCCACAGGAATGCTGGATAACAAATATAATAAAGACTGGAAGGAGATTAGACATCCCTTAGGAAAGGGATGGCAAAGAGACAGCACCTACAAAAGACTTGCTTGTGTAACTAAAAAATAAGTACATATGGCTTTGCTGTGGGTGAAGCTGTACATACTGGTCCATATTTAATGGACTGTTGGTATTTTAAAGACTGTTCAGCGTGTAATACTGCTTTTATATATATGATGCAAAGTGACATTTGGCTTGAAGTATCTGTCTCAGAATCACAGCAGTTAGAACCAGTGATACTTTCCTATTTTATAATGCTGGCATAGCTGAAGAAAAAACTCAATCTTTACCTACTCTTCTGACAGTGTCTGCTTTTGCTCCTGAATGACATTAATCTAGCCTGTTTCCAATGGGTGGGAAGATATCCCTCTGAGACTGTCGTTAGGCTGTGAATGGCAACAGTGCTCAACAAATGCCATGTCAAACAAGGAACTGGTGCTGCAGAAGGAGATCGCACAATACATGCCCCGCCAGAACATCTCCTCCAGGCGAGCCGGAGTGGAGACACCAGCTGTGCCCTGCCCCAACTGATAGCTTTACGAACAGTGCGTACCACACCTCGCACGTCTGAACGACTGCTCAAAGCAGCTGTTGCAAAGCCAGGGCAGGTTTTCTTTCCTTCCTTTGTCTTGCCCACAGCTCACACAGAACGATTTTCCTCACCTCCTGCTTCCAGCCCTGGAGGGATAACGTTCTACAGCAAACTGCTTCTCCAAGATGCTGAAGGTAAACTTGTCACAACTGTCTCCAGCTGTTACGATGAATTTCAGCATCAGAAACATAGCATTAGTAACCACCACAGGGGTGTAAAGGCTCTGTCAAGTCCCAGGACGCAGTACGATTTTTAATTATCCCTGCTGCTCAGACCTGACATTACAGACGACGGCGATGAACACGACCGCAAGTCCCTTCCTCCTACGCTTCATTCTCCCCGAACCTTTGCAAGCGCCGCTCGCTCCCGCTGCCCTCCCCAGGGCCGGCTTCGGCCAGCGGGGCAGCAGCCCCGCTCTGCCCGGGGGGCAGCCACTGCGGCTCGGGGGGCGGGATTCCGCGGGCAGGGGGACAGGCTCTCCGCCACCGCCGGGACGTTTCCCCCGTGCCGGCAGACCGCTCCCTTCCCCACAACGCGAGGCGCACGGGAAGGCACACTCACCTCTCCTGGCCTGCCGGATCTTGGGGCTCAGCATGCTCCCGGCTGGGCGCGCCGCTGCCGGCAGCCTCAGCGGCCGCCCCCGGCCCCGGCCCCGGCCCCGGCCGCCGCCCCGCGCATCGCCGCGCCCCGCTCACACGCCACTTCGCTTCCAGCGCTGGCTCGGGGTCGACGCTTCACACGGGGCTAAATAAATGCTAATGCATTATTTATCCGGCCTCGAATTAATTCCCATCCAAACTAGGCATTAAGTGCCTCGGTAATTACTGTCGATAAATCCCTAGCGCGCAGACACGAGGGCTGGATCTGGCTCATTCTGCTAATCGGCCACGCATCAGTGTTACTAATATGCCTCTTTCAGGGAGTAGCGCCGATCCCGCACTCCCACTCTGCATCTTTCTCTGGTCGCGCTCAACAGACGCTTTGACTCGACAAGGATCAGATCAGTAGCCGAATCTCTCCGAGCCAGGGGAAAATAAAGGGCACAACGCACAGGCAGAGAAGCTTGCGCATCTGATAAGGCTGTGCGTTAGAAGAAATACCAAGTGAGCTGGTCTACAGGGCAGCGGCGTGCTGGGTGCCTGCTGAGCGCTGCACCCCGCCGAGGAGGTATTCTGGTGAGAGCCGGGGGGCTGAGAGAAACGACCCACTGTTCCCTGCAAGGAAGAAAAATCTCTTGCCTGCACTGACAGCCTGGAGGGATGGACACAGGAGAATGCCATCGCTCCATTTTAGCACCCATCTTTTTTATTTGTACTCCTTGCTAAACATTCCCTCACCTCACCCCTCCCTGAGGGTGAGGCAAAATCTGCAATCAGTACTGAGGAATGGGGGAGGAAAGGACTAACATTTGATGAAATAGTTAGGTACTATTAAATAGTATCTATAAACTATAAATATATACTCATATGAAAATTGAATAATTGACACATCCTGCCCCTGGGCTGCTCTTAGCACAACTTCCTTCCTCACCATCCCCATCTGCCTAGTAGGTCCTGCTGCAGTGTAGAAAAGGGGGTAAATGTTTCCCTAGCACTGTGCATGCCCTGCAGTATCACCTTACAGGTTTGTGTTACTGAGTTGCATTGACAAAAAGCATTTGAGATTCGCAGAGTCTTCTTCTGCCAAGAAGACTCATCATATCTTGGATACTGAATACTTGCCATCAAGTCATATCTGCAATAACGGAAGAGGTTCTCTGGCCCTTTACAGAGGCTTTACTTCTCAATATGCAGGTTGCAACAATGGCTAAGATTCTTTGGAGCTTTAGCTGCTGGTAGAACCAGCTACTTAGAAGTGATTGCAAATCCTTGAGTTCTTGGTGGCCGTCTCAGATTTACACACTTGTAAATGAGCCTGGAAGTGGGATCTGAACTGTCATCTCTGTTCTGAATACACACGCTCCTGCAGTTTTCTCCCCACTAACCATTTGTATTAGCCTGGCTTCAGCACAGTGAAGAGCAGCTAACTGGTGATCCCTTGGCCAACAAGCTTAGCAAACATCCTGATACTATGGATAACCATGAACATCACCAGAGGGAAGTTATGCTTCTGCCTTTCTGCCCAATGTCAGTCCCCAGATCAAAAAGTCATTCTTACCAAACATTTAACAGAACTCTCTCTCTCCGTATTTTTAGCATTTATTGTCTGCCTTAATGCTGCTTATACACATAATTTCACAATTTGAGCAGGAAGTCAAAAGGTGTGTACAGTAAAACATGACAAGAGTTAAAGTTACCTGAACTTTTAACCTCATGGGAAATATGGGACACTTCATCCTGCTAAGTCACTTCCCATGAAACCTTGATTTCCCCTCTGGGGAAAGACATTCTATAGGGACCTATATAAATAATTCTCATATTCATGGGTAAAATTAAACCATTCAAACAAATAACATCCAAGTCCAACACTAAATACTAACTTTGAAGGTTTTTTGGTTAAATAAAAAAGTACTTGATGTAAACAAAAATATTCAGTTGGATCCTGCTTGAAATGTTTTGCTTTGACTTAAACATTTCAGCCCTTCTTAGGGCAATTTTCAAAAGAGCAACATAGCTTAAATGATTTTTTTAAATGTTGGAAATCTCCTACTTTTTCCTCCCAGCTTAGACATGATAAATTCAGACCTGAATTTCTTAGATGTACTTTTTGGGGCAAATAATTTATTTGTCAGGGAAAAAAAAAAAAAAAAAAAAAGCTATTAAAAAATGCCAGCTGAGATAGAAAAAAACCTAATCCTCTCCAGCAGGTGGTTCCATGCTGGATGCTGTGCTTTGCTCTGACAATTTAAAGAAATAATTCCTGAAAGAAACTCTAAGAATAGGTCCAACAGAAAGGTAGCCTAGCAAGTGTCTAGAAGGAACCAGACCCTAAATGAATGTTTAAATCCTGAAGCTTCGTACTGAACTACTTAGACTGAGCAGGATAATTAAGACAACATATCTCAATGATTTGTATTTACCTTAATTCTCCTGTGAGTTTCACAGCCCCTTTCCATCCCATGGCTAGTTTCTCAAGGTGTGTGTTCCGCATCTGCATTGACCCCACAGAACCACATCCCATAGGGGCTCTGCTTATGGAGCAGGGCTGGGAAAGCACTTCATCTGCAGCCCAAGCAAACTCTTCACCTGCATGTGTCCCACACCACTGCCAGCTGCCCCTTCAACACACATACCTGGCAAGAAGCATTTTCAACATACACCCTTATGTATAAAAGGCCCCTATGTAAAAGGTGACAGTGCTCAGAGTAATCCATGGTGAGGCAAGAGAGGAAAAACTATCAAGTAATGGTCAATTTAGTTTATTCTCCCTAGGTCAAGTTTTGTCTGACTCGCATGCTGTTTCCAAGCAACAATGGTATTGACAACTTTAACTGATTGTGAAGGACAGTAATTGCAATCTGAAGAGTACATAAATATATTGAAATTCATCTGGCAGTTCACCTAGGGACAAATATTTTGGTGCAGTAATTTTTCTTAAAGAAAAGGAGTGTAAAGATGTAAAGAATGAAGGAATAATCTGTGAAAGCTCTACTTTCACTGTATTTGCATCAGGTTTCTCTCTCTGAATATAGAGTCACACAGTAGAAAAAAGGGACACTGGTTTAGCCCAGCCCAACCAGGGTTATATTAGCCCTGTATTTTGTTGCTAAATAAAAGCTGGCAGAGTACAGTGGTGGTAGAATGGAGGAAAATAGAGATACAGTTCTATGACGCCAGCTCTTCCCTCTCACCTAGCAAACTCTCTGAGGGGAGTTTGAAAATACCCCAATCAGAGAATTTAGACAGAAATGCCAGAAATGCCTCTGGGCAGGCTTCCTGGGTTGAGAATACCTACCTGAGATTGTGTGCTGAGTCTCAGCTTGAGTCCTTGCACTAGCAATTCTGAGGAATGCCTACTTGCTGCTTCAGAACATGACTCATCTCTGTCTGTGCTATTGAAGCCAAACATTATAAGACCAGAAAAATTCTTGCATAAAGGTGTAGAAGTAGCTGTACTAAAGTCACAGCAAGCAGCAGAGTTAATCTTAAACCTAAGTGCATTCTACAAAGACAGCAAAAACCTATGCTCTGCTCCTGAAGGGCATTAATAGACTTAACAGCCCTGACCAGCCTCACCTGGCCACCACCCACACCCTCTGCCCATAGGCCCAGGAGCTCCATTTAAGCTCAGACTTGGACATTTACTTTTAGCCTGAGCTATCTCGTAGGAAGAGTGATCTCTAGCTGAGTTATACTGCTGTGTGGGTTCAGACTGTGATCTATGGGCTGTTGTTTTTTTTTTTTTCAGTTTGACATTGAATCTGCCTTGTTGCTGTGGATCTACTTAAGATAGTGCTGGATTGCGTTTGATGTTAGTATCCTAATTCTGACTATGAGCTGTGGGTAGTTTTCTTGGCTTGACCCTAGACATCTTTTCTCATCGTGAATGTGTTTGATCTGGACTCAGGATTGAACTTCACCATTATTTCTAAGTCTTTCTTCCCTACCTCACTCAAGTACTGTGGGGACTATGTCCTACCCCGCTGTGCTGTCTGTCCCCTTCATTTAGGGAGCAAGTAGTAATTGCTGGTCATCTCATTTTAGAGCTAGGCTAAAAGTGGCCCAATATGGCAAGCTTCTTGGGAAGCTGCTGGGCTGCAAGTAATAAGACTTTTCTGACTGACTGATACAAGGCAAGAGGTACGTTCCTGATGGCTTGAAATACCAGTGTCAAGATGTGTACCAGTCATTAGAAACCACTGTTTTCATGGTTCTATCCCTCTGCTTGTCCAAAACCAGAATGGCAGTCTATCATAGAGCTCTAGGCATCTACAAGGCTAGAAAATATAAATCAGCTGACTAACCAAGTACTAGACAAGCACTACTATCAGTCTCTGATGTGAATCTAAAAATAAATGTGATCATTAATTATCTGATGCCTGTTTGGAATGTAGGAAAACTCTTCTTTATATCAGAAGTATTTACCATTAATTGCTAAGCACACATAATGATGGAAGGTGATGGGGCCTAGGGATTAGGAAATTTAAGGAGAGTGGGGAGGCACAGCCTCCAACCTTAATACCATCAAATTTCTCATGGCTATAAGCAAGATATTCAGTCTCAGGTCCCATCCACCTCCATGCAGTTGTTTGAGACCTGGGATTGGCAAGTTCCATCTGAATGCGGAGCAGAGGATGATAATAAGATACTGCAGCAGGGACACTCAGAGAAGATGATTCATATGTTGGCGCCAAGGCTGATGGCTGGAGGCTATGAAACATGTCAGGTACTTGAGATGGAAGAGTGCGTGGGCCAGTGAAGTTGCTGAATGTGTGTGTGGGGGACTGAATGGATCTCTGTTTCCACAGGCTGCACACAGAGCATGCTGTCACCTACCAGCTATTACACAGAATATCCTTGTTTCCTCCTCCTCATCTTCTGCTTCCATATACAGGCCAACAACTTGTTGCAACTAGCTGATTGATATATTTTCTTTACTCATCAGCAAGACGTGTCTGGATGAAAGCCCGAGATCTAATCACCCTGGACTTTGGCATCATTGAACTCCAGATCCAGTTTATTTAGATAGCAACTTTGGTTACAATCTCTTCTC